TTGCCTTCGCGTCGTCAACCGGACCCGATCACCCACTCCAAGAATGTCCGCGCCGCACGTCCCTCCAGGGAGAGGACCGCACGCGTGCGCTCTCAGAGCTCTGCGACCAATGGTGCCTGACTGACGCTTGGGACGTCGAGCTTTCCTCCCAACCAAGGCCACGCGGGCTTTGAGCTTGGAGCAACGGCCAGAAACACGCGCAGCAGCTCCGGCGGCGTAATCCACACCGAGGTTGATCGTGGAGTCAGTGACCCTGCCTCCCAGCTGGCCGAGCGCAGAGGCAAGATCACGACCAAGAGACTTACACGAGGAAACAGTACAAACCTTGTCTAACGAAAGTTGGCAACTCATCATGTCAGGGGCAGCGATGGCACGATGAAGGGCAGCAGTGGCAGAGACGAGACTAGAGACCACATGCTGGCGAGTGCCAGTACACAAAATACTCGTGTCATCGATGTACACATCAAACTCCAGGGAACGAATGGAGGGGATGGTATCAAACGAGGACATAGCATACACTCTGATATGAGTAGTGGCCATGCTGCACCCAGCTATCACTCCATTGTCCACGAAATGAAGACCGTCCAGGATGTCAGCAATCGAGACGAACCTGCCGCAACGATAGGCGAAGAGGGTGAGCCTGGTGAGCACTTGGGGGGAATCCACCTGGGCACAGCGAGCTTCAAGGGTGTCGAGGTGAATGGTTTCGTAAGACTTCAGCATGTCATAGAAAACACTCGCACTGCATTCATTTCTGGAGGTGCCAGCTTCAGCTCGAACTGACTGCCTCCAAACAACATCCGAAGCTCCTCGAAAAGCACCAGCAGCCCTGTACCGACGGGGGCGCTGCTGCTCCCAGGACAGCGCATGGGGCCGTCGAAGACGGCCCCACACTCTGTACCAAGAGCAGAACACCCCTATCGGCCTGTAGCCGCCTGTGGGTTTCGTGAGCATAGCAAGAAGAACAGCACTGATCTGGCTGGGCAGCTGGCCGAGAGATTCCATCAGCTCAAACAGCATGCCGAGTGAAATAAGACAGTCCTCGCTCAAGTGCTGGAAATGCCTACAATCAAGTCCATCATAAGTGACGGCTGAGGTCTTCTAGCATTTTTTGCTAACCGCCCTGAGTTCTCCGGGAGTGGCACGGGGGAGAGGGTTCACAAGAGAGGGGGGGGGGGGGGGCAAGGTCGCCGACGCCAGCCCCCCCAAAACTTAGAAAACTCATCCCCTTCACTGGCCAATGAGCTGATGGGGGTCAGCCACTATAACCCCATCACGAGACAGAGTAGTGGTGGGAACCCATGGGGTGGGATCCTTGGCGGTAGCATGGACATTGCGAGCACCCTGGTCGATGCCCTTAGTGAGCCAAGCTCGCCAATCAGCCTGAGAACGCGTTTTGAAGGAGGCCTCCGCCTGGGAGGCGGCACCTGGAATCGTTCCAAAGAGATTGTGAGCACCTTTGAGCTGATCAGCCGTCATCTGTCTGCCTCCTGGAGACGAAACAAAATCATGCACTCTCTCCAGAGCGCCATAGAACATGGCAGAATGACGCTTGACCGAGGCAGGCGGGTCGCAGAGCAAAGCGCCCATCCTCGAAGCTCGTGCCCCTGCACCTTGGTCCGAGCTGCGCAGACTAAGGCAGGCGCGAAACTGAGCAAGCAGCCACATGATGGCGCGATGCTCTGGATACCTGGGTTGTCCGTCCCTTCCCACAACACTCTTCCACATCAACTGGGGGCATTTGCCCCTCGCGCCCTTGACCGCCAGCTCCGCCCCCGTAATCTGCACCAGCTCAGCCTCGGCTAAATCGGCCCAGGCTGCGTAGCCTGGTGATAAATGACTAAGCGCAGCGGCGGCGGCGCCAGCGGCAACAGCATCGAGGCCAGCCTGCGCGCGAGAAATGACATGAGTCCAATCTGGGGGCTCGGGTCGGGGGCCGAACACGGGTCCCCTGGGAAGAGGGGGAGGTTTCCTGAAACAAAAAGCTTTCAGCGACGCAGGAGACTTGTAGAAGGCTTAGTCAACTGGGCGATGAGGGCTCAAAATAGCATCATGGACAACCGAACAACTCTTGAAGGCCTTGCCAAGGCCTCCGCTACAGATGAAGAAGTCAAGGGTGGACGGGCCCCCCTCGCCGAAATGAGTGTGGCCAGGCGCATGGATCCAAAGACCCTGCAGCTCCGAAACAAACTTAGTGGCCAGGAGCTTGTCTGGTGGCATGTTGAAATCTCCTCCAATAACATACGAGGCAGCAGCAGCATCCGCACGGACACCAAGCTGGCAGAGGAGGTCCATGTTACGGTCTGAGGTGCCTTCGCTGTCGTAGAGATAGACAGAGAAAGCATCAAAGGTGAAACCTCCTGGGATCTGCACCTTCGCTTGAGAGAGATGGCCCTTGGCTATGCTGCGCCCCTTGGGGGGGGGGGGGGGGTAAAGACCGGGGAAGGATTTAGCAAACACCGCAGTGCCTCCCGAAGTGCCTCCCTCCGTCAACACAGCTGGGGTCCACGAGCTCTTCCAACCATTGCGTGCGCTCCACTGAGAGGCGACGTGTATTTCTTCACTGGGCGCTAACCTATGCCCCTGGATCAGGCGAACATGAGCAGGCGTGTCAGGAAGCATCTTCTTCAGAGTGCCCCAGCTGTTGCAGTTGATGCTGCGAACAGTCAACTCGATAGAGCTCAGCCCGTCAGAACCCTTGGGGCCGCACGTGGGACAAGGGGTCACAGGCGAGGAAGGAGGGGCCGCGGGGATCCTGGGGCCAGGCACCACAACCACAGGAGCGTCGGGCCCAGGGGAAGCCAGCACAGGATAGGCGACCTTAGGGCAAACAAAACTGGCAGACTCCGACTTGGAGGCCTGCAGAGGCCTATGTCTGGGCAGCCTTCCGGCAAAACTCGTTGCGACCTCCACAAGGTGTGACGCACCGCATTCCTAAGGCCCCCTCGGCCTTGGTAGCGGACGTCGCGAGCACGGAGGGAACGACGGAAGAACTGCCGACAGGCTAATGGAGATGTGTGAAACGTGCGGATTGCCAAAGCCCCCCCTGCTAGGTGGCCCGCGCGGGGGGGGGGGGGGCCCACCTGGGGCAGGAGCGGATGCAGCGAGTGCTGCATCCGTGCGGGCTTTGAGCTCCGCTGCGGTGGGCTCACGCGCAGGCTCAGGTTGCGCTGGCGCAGGCGCCTTCGCTGGAGCAGCAGCTCCTGCAGCTGCTGCTCCTCCGCTGGGCGCCGCGGGCGCTGTGCTCGCACTGCGCGGCGCTGCCGCTGGCGCTGCGGGCGCTGCGCCTCCACCTCCACCGCCTCCGCCATCTGCTGCAGCTGCTGCTCCACCTGGAGAAGGGGGCGGAGCTTCGCCGCGTCGGCGCTTGGCCGCGAGACGGCGTAGGTGCTTGTCATGTTCTTCTCGAACCTTCTTGGCTTCGTCGCTGGCTTGCTTGAAGAGGGTGGTGCACATCTGCTTGCCCCATCTGCCAGCTGCTTGGACCTGCGATCGAGGGGGGAGGGAGGGGGGAGGAGAGGGGGGGGGGGAGAGGGAGGGGAGGGGAGGGGAGGGGAGGGGAGGGAGGGGAGGGGAGGAGAGGGGGGAGGGGAAGCTGGAACGCGTACCTCCTCGGGTACAGTCACCGTGCCACCCCGCGGGAGGCTGCACAGCGCGCGCGCGGGCGCTCCTGGCCACGGCGAGCGTCGGCCGCACAGGGGCCCCCCACCGCCCCAAGTCTGAAGGACAGCCCCGACAGCCGGGCCCCTCCTGAACCCAAGGTGGCCCCACACTTGGTGGGCCCCGGAAAAGGGCGACCGGAAACGGCAATAGAAACGGCTCTAGGAGTGGAGCCGGAGCTGCTGGAACCCGCAGAAAAACGGCGACGGAACGGGTAAAAAAACGGCAAAACGGAACCGGGAAAAAAACGGCCCTGTCGTTTCCAGGGCCCACTGAGGCCCCACAACGGCGGCGCGCGAGGGTGGGGGGGGAACGAGAAGGAGAAGGCCCTCTCAGATCTCAGAAGGCGGCGGGACTTCTCAGAGGCCCTCGCGCGCCCTCCGACGGAGTTGCCTGAGCCTTCGGGGGAGCCTCAGAGATCTTCTCAGAAGGCCGGGGGGCTTCTGAGCCTTCTGAGAGGGCCCCCCTCCTAGATGCCTTCTAGATGGGGTCCGAGTAGATGGGGTCGGAGGATTGCACCGCATCGCCGATGCGGAGCGATCCTCCGACCCCATCTTCTCCGACCCCATCTAGGAAGCCTAGACCTTCTTAAGGAGCCGAACCCCATAGACCGATGCCTTTTCTGGACCCGTGCTGGAATTCGCACAGGAAAGCAGGTCCTGGTGAATACGGGATCCTGGTGTATACATGTTTCGCTGCCCCCCAGGACCACGGAGGAGGAAAAGTATACACCCACCACCTGACGTCGCTCCCGACCCTCAAAAAAGCCCAGGGACCGACAAAACAGCCCGCCGCCGGTCGTGCATGTGCCCCCCAGCTTCCCGTATAGACCTTCTTTCCCCCTTCCCCCCCGGCTCGCCGCCGAGGTTCACCGTCTGGAGCCCACCGCAGCGGCGGCACCCACCCTCAGATGCTCATTCTGGGGACCTTCCTGGAGCCACTCGCTCCCCTCGTGCGTCGAAGCTGCGTCGAAGCGGCGCCGAAGCTGCGCCGAAGCTGCGTCGAACCCAAGAGCCGGATCTGAGCCGAAGCTGCGCCAAAGCCGCGCCGAACGCGACTCGAGCCCGAGTCGAACAGCTCCGCTGGGCGGGCCCCGGGAGGGCCCCCCAAAGCTGACGAACCAACAACACACACCCATACTCCTCATAGGGGGATCGGAGAGGGCTATGGATGCATGTTGTCGGATGGGGGTCCCCGCTCGAACGGGAGCGTTCCCCAGGGCCCGACAACCCGCACCCATACCCATAGCCAGTCCTCCTCCCAACGACCCCCCTATGGGTATGGGTGCGTGTTCTTCGTTCGTCAAAAGCGAGCCTCGGACCGCCCGCGGCCCCCGAGGCCTCCGCCAGGGCCGCGCGGAGCGCGCCGCGGACCTCGGCGCGGGCCTCCGCCTCCGGGCCGAGGAGGGCCGCCTGCGCCCCGCGGGGGGGGGGGGGGGGGGGGGGGGGGGGCGCGCTCCGCGGTGCCCTACCTCCCTCGCCAGGGGAGGGGAGGGAGGAGGAGGAGGGGAGGGAGGGGGGGGAGGAGGAGGAGGAGGAGGAGAGGAGGGAGGGAGGAGGGAGGAGGAGGGAGGAGAGGGAGGAAGAGGGAGGAGGAGGGAGGAGGCCCTCAATGTGGGGGGGGGGGGGGGGAGTCGGCGCTCAGGGGCGGACGCACCGACCCTCCACGGTCCCGGGGTAGCCCGCGTCCTGCCCGGGAGGGGCGCGGGCTCGCCCTCGGGGGCCGGGCGGCGGCGGGGCGGCGGCGGTGCTCCCCCCACGCGCGGTCTCCAGTCGGGGCCCCGCAGACCACGGCATCCAGGGTTAGGCCGGGCATGTCCTCCTGCAGGCGGGCTTCGGCGGAGAAGCCTACGAAATAGTCAGACAGATTACCCGGACATGGCCAGAGGCATAATCGAAGCATCGCCCCCAGACTATGTTGAAGCTTTTTGTTTGAGTACTCCTCCTGTAGAGGGACAGGCCCGAATTACATTAAATCTAAGAAGCAATGACCACCCCGACAAGCAAAGCTATTTAGTAAGCGCACCCAAGGAAGGAATCGAACAGTGCAGGGCTGTTTAGTAAACGCCCACGGCCGTTTAGCAAAAGCCAAGTATCGGGGACGGGGTGAACATTGCAGACCAGGGCTCTGCCAAATCCAGCGGAAGAAACAGCTAAGATTGGACCATGTTTCGACCAACAGCTGCCGCTCTCTGCCCCACGGTCCGCCAAAGTTCTCGTTTACGGGGCCAGGAAGCCCTGGCGAATCGACTCGCACATACAAAGCCCAACAGAAAGACTGGGTGCCCAACTCTGGTCATGGATTTGTGAAGTCACAATTGTTTTCTCGACGTCGCATGTCGGGATTCTCGAGAGCGCTTTCTAAACTCGCGACGATCGCGGGCGTCATGGTGGGGAAGGGGGGGGCGGGGGACCCACAATTACCGTGACGCCACGCCCCCCGCCGTGACGGCAACGCTGGGGACGCGCTGGGCGGGGAGGAGCGTTACGGTATGGGGGGAGGGGAGAGGGGGGAGGGGGGGCATCACGCGCGCCATGGCCCAAAGGGTAGCAAAAACGTGCTCCACCCCCTCGTGCGGCCTTCGTCCAGGCCAACGAGGGCCGCGAGCGCCTGTGAGGGCCTGACGATCAGAGCTCCGAGGCGGTCCCAGAGGGCGATCTGGGTGTGATTGTGTGCACGGTGGGGTGCGATGACGCACCGGACGCCGAGACGACGACGAACCCAGAAGGAGAACAAACCCAAGGGAGGTCCGGCGGATCTGGAGGAGATATCGGGCCGCGGCCTTCTCAGTGCGCTCACGAACGCTCTAAAAACGCTCGTCCAAGCCCCGTCCGAGAGGCACCCTAAATAGAGGAAGAAAAACGTCATAGTCAACCAAACATTGGCGCTCCGAGCGGGTTTCTTGGATCCGCGCTGGGCCCCCCTCCTTGGCGCGCGGAGCGCGCCAGGGGCGGCGTCGGAGGCGCTGCCGGGAGGGCCCAGCGCGGATCCAAGAAATCCGCGTGGAGTGCATGGCGGTTCTGCTTCCTTGGCTAAACTGCCGCGAAAGCAATGCTTACCATCCTCAAGCCACCTCCGCCTGCAGCGCGGCGGCATCCTGAGACGAGCCCCACGCCGGACGAGTGCCGGGCCTTGCCGGCAGACACCGGGCCCCCGAGTCTCGGCGACAAGACTGGCCCCGGCGGAATACGCCGGACGACGGAGTGGCTGCCAGAGCAGAGCAGGAGAAGAGAAGCAAGGGAATGGGCTGGTGCAGCCGCCCCGACGCCATTCACAAGGCTGACATGCTCCGTCCTCCTCGGAACACACACGTATGCAGCAGGCCCGAAACCACGGAGCCTGGACTCCTTGGAGAACGTGCCTGCCTACGGCGTGCACCTCTGCACATGAACAACACGCATGACTGTCAGAATTGGCGAACTGAGCCCCTATGGCCAATAAGGCCCTGCTGCGCTACTGAGACAAAGGGTTTGAAGAAGGCACCATCGAAAACATCGATCACGTTCAGATTGCCCCTGCAATAAGCTCAGGTGAGACCTGAACCCCAAACCTGCCCGCACTCCTAAACATCAAATATGATACCACATCCCTTGTCTCATGTTGCTCTCATCGTACTTGAGGACCACACACCCAGGAATACTTTTGACCACCCGGGCAAGGGTCGAACAAGTGCCGAAACAGTGTCGAAACGGTGTCGAAACAGTGTCGAACGAGTGTCTTCCAGGGCCCGTGAAAACCCTCGTTGTTCGGTTCTTCTTTGGTGCTCGAAATTGCTCCTGGTGATCCAGGCTAACGTAGGTAAAGGGGCCCTGGGACACACAAATAAATACACACAACTAAAAAGATCCCCCATATGTTCCCATATCTTGTGTTTTTGTCTTCGCCCCCACTTCCCATATTTTTCCATATTCCTGGGGAATCGACGATTACTTGTGTCTGTTTTTTTTTTTCTCCTGACCCTTGTCCGAATTGACCCGCCCCTTGCGCGAGCCGCTTCGACCCCGCTGCCCGCCGTGGTGTCGTGCGACGTCGTGCCCCTGCCGCTCGCACGCGCCGGCCACACGGTGCCACGGGGCCCGCAAAACGACGATCCGCTCGCCCGCACGGTGGCGCCTGGCTCAACACAGTCGGCCCGTAACATCCGGATGCGCGGGAATTGGAGGCCTGGAAGTGGGCACCAACACCAACACAGGGGGTTTGCCTCCACAGGGGGAAGGTGATCCTAGATTTCGGTGCTGGTGATGATCTTTCGGCCACCCTGGACGCCAGAATATTACCACCATCACCGAGATCGGGATCTTCTTCCCTCGGTGGAGGCACACCGCCGATATTGGTGCTGGTGTCAACCTCCAGGCCTGCGAGATAAGGATGCAAAGGGCCTTGGACGCCCATTTCGAAGCTTCCCGAGCGGGGCGCGGCCAACGAAAGCGGCCAAGGATGGACCGGGGAGGCAAGGATGCAAGGGTACCCCTTGGGGAAGGTTGCCCATCCTTCCTGTGCGGGCTGACTCTATCCTCAACGCCCGAAGCCGCTGCCCGCGTGGTGCCTTGCGTTCCAGTGCGCTCTCAGATCAACTCCTGCGGCGGTGCCGTGCCCACACGTACAAGCTCCGTGGCGACCATGGTGCAGTGTGGTGTTTCTGTTGGCGTGCCTCCCCGACTCTCGGATCGATTTGCCGAGTCTGTCGCGTGGTCTCGTGTCCCCTGCTCTCGGATCTGGGGTCTCGCCGCCATGCAGGTTCAGTTCGCTGGGCAGCTCGCCCGTTCGCGCAAATTGAAGCAGGGGCGCGCTAGCCATGGCCATCTCCAGAGCGGCGCACATCTCGCTCTTCAAGGCGCTGTCCTCGCAGACCAGATGCGCGCGTGGCTGACGAATCACACACGAACGATGGAATAACCCTGCGCTCTGGACTACCGGTGAAACATGACCAGACAAGAACTAGCAACGCCGCTTTTGTCCACTCGGCTAGCAAGACGAAGAAACCAAGAAGGGAGAGGATGACGAAAAGGAGGTGGGGGTGAGTCAGTGGACAGCGTTTGAGAGGAAAGCGAGGACCATGATGACTACAGGGAAGAAAGCAAACACAAGGACGAGGAGAATCAAAATGAGAACAAGCGCAAGAGAGAGGGCGACAATATCAACGCGGAGTTTAGGACGGCAGTGGGGGACGACGAGAAGGACAGCGTGGATGAGCAGAGAGACATTGAGGACGAGTAGACCAAGGCGTTCGAGGAGAAGGGCGACGAGGAGGACGAGTAGGACAAGGCTGGAGTGGACAAGGACGACGAGGAAGACAACAAAGCGATAAACATAATGAAAACACACGTGGAGGACAATGAGGACAGCAAGGATGGCGAGGAGGAAAGGAAAGGTAAGGGAGGAGGAGGAGGACGACGACGACGAAGACACGAGGGACGAGGAGTACGAGGAGAAGGGCGGGGAAGAAGTGACGATTCTTGGTACTTGTCGGGGCTAGATGGCGACTGCCGGGAACGTCTGAGGCCGTCTCCGAGGCTCTGTGGGGCCTCTTAGAGACCCCTTGAGCGCAACTTGGGGCCCTATCAAAACCCTCGGAGGATGTGTGGGAGTGTGCCAGGGGAATTGTGGCTGCTCTCTTGCGCCGCTGTCTCAGCGAGGATCCTCCCACCTCATCCTCATCTTTTGTCTCATCCTCTCTCCTCGTTCTCGTGCTCGGCCTCGACGACCTCCTCCTCTTCCTCCTAATCCTGCTGCTCATCCAACTCCAAGCCGGACATGTTTCGGTCCCCCGACGCCATGATGTTCCCGAGCAAGGCCTGCACGCACTCGTCCTTAGCCTTGTCGTCCTCCAATGGCGCAGAGCTCTTGGGAGCGGCGGCGGTGGCAAAGGCGGCAATTACACGATGCAAAGCTTCCTAGGCCTTGGCGTCATCCAGGGCCGCAATGCTCGCGGTGGGGGCGGCGGCGGCAGAGGCGGCGATAGGGCGAACGAGCTCGTCCCACGAAAGATTGCGGAGCGTCTGCGAACTGACCTGCGCAGGCGCCCTGCTACACTCTCCTTCGAGTCATCCGTCTTCCTCGGGAAGGGGGCTGGAAAGATACATGCAAGGCGGGGTGACTGGGCGGCTCACCGGCTTGGCCCGCGACGCTCCCTGCGTTACCGAACGTAAGGGCCGACATGGCCATTGTGCACGCCGCGCTCGATCTACCGGGACCTGACCCTGTCAAGGGCAGGGCCTGTCAAGGGTCAGGTCCCGACTGAGGCTTGGCCCCAAGATCCCTTGTCCACTGACCGCCAGGGCTTGACCTCCGCTGCCCCCGAGTAAGATGTCGACGGGGCTCCCCGAGCTACAGATCGATATAAGCGTCTAACCGCATGTGCCCTTCTTGACAGACTATCCCAGATTCACTCACGACTCTGCCTTCGGCTTTACAACTCTGCACCGTTTGGGAGATCACCTTCTGGGGGGGCGGTCCGGGATGAGCATCGAGCAGTGCAAGGTATGGATGCTCGGTCCTTCGTCCCCTTCATGCCGAGACGTGGGTGAATCGCTCTGTGGAGGTGAGGATGGTTGTCGCTAGTGTCCCTGCTTTGTGCTATGGACCCCCCCCTCTAAGCAGTGCTTATACTTGGGCTTTCTAACTTCGCTTGACAAGTAAATGGATGACTTCGCCGAGGTTTCGCCTGGTGGCGCTTCGTGCGCTGGCTGGGTCCGCCGAGGTTTCGCCTGGTGGGCTCCTATGCGCTGGCTGGGTACGCCGAGGTTTCGCCTGGTGCGCGCCCGTGGGAGCACACGCGGGGCCACTGTAGGTTTTATCCCACAGCTTGCACCACATCGGCAGCACCACGTATACTGAACCACAACGAGCGAACCAGATTGATTGCACCACCTACATTGCACCGCATAGCTTGTACGACAGATATGGCACTACTTGTTTTGTACCACGTCGATAGTAATACGTAGCTTCTAACTCATATGCAGCACCACGTGTACTACACCACATCTACAACGCACGCGAAGTGCAATAACTCGCTCTTTGGAGCCCACGCTGCCAAACATAGAATCAGCCACTGTGCCTGCACGGAGTGGGTGGGTTAGAATGCTCGTCTGTTGCCTTGGAGGTGTTTAACATATGCGTTCTAGCCCCCCCCCCAGCACACGCGGGGTCTTGAGACTCCCCCGTCTGAAATTGCTCTCGGGCGGTCTTTTCGGCTTCGGGACGGCCAAGATGGCAACCAGGGCGGCTTTCCCGACAGCCAAGACGACATCAAATCGGCTCCAGATGGCGCAAAGACTGCTCAAGAAGCTTCGAAGACGGCCTCGAGACGCACTGAGAGGCCCCCGAGACGGCCCAAGAGGGCTCCAAGGACAGTCCGAGGAGGCAAAACACATTTTCCCTGTAGGCATTTGAAAGACTTTCGAAATTTTCGCCTCGGGTCGGGCGAAAGGGG